GTGCTCCAGAGAAATGGACACCTGTCTTTTCCCCTTTGTTCCTTTAGTTGCCTGGAACCTTTGCATGCTGGGCCTGGGAGAACACCAAGCCTCTGACCTGACATTGTATGTGTACATTGAGCATTCTAACCTCAGCCTTAATTTTGCTGCTGTTATATCTTTTACTTGTCCCTTGGCTTCTCTCCATCTTTATCAAGATTGCCTTCAATTCTTTGACATCTGATGTCTTTGCCCCGGCTGTGTATGGATAAAGTCTGTTATTTCATGTGCCCTGGGTATTATAGAAGGGTATGCAGCTTCGTTCCCTGTGGCTTTCCTAGGGAGCTGTTGCCCTCCTTTCTTATATCCCACCCACATTTCATATTGACAGTGAGAGGCTTGCTGACGTCTTTGACAAAGTTTGCTCCCATTGTTTTTATATACTTTCCTTGTTTTATATATAGATCATGATCTACATGAAAGTTTTCAGGTGGTAGCAGTAGCCTGTCACAGAGTAGGAGCTAAGCATTTGCTCAGTGAATGAAAGAAAAACTGAGTTATTTAACCATGGAAAAGGCTGTCTTGTAAAATAATGACCTCCTGGCTAAGAGTTATGTAAGAAGTAACTCCAAATAGGATTCCAGGTTTGGGTTGGAAGGTTGTACTAGGTGGTTTGTAAGATTCCTTTCTACCCTAAGTCAGGGAGCTAACACTCTTGTGAAAGAAATCCCTTTTTGTAAACAGAGGAGATAGACCCATAGACAAGTACAGTACCAGGTAGGAAGTAGCAGAGCCAGGATTTGTGCCCAGGTCTGCCAGGCTCCCAAGGCCAGCTCTTCACACATGAGGGTGCAGACATGCATATCAGCTTGCTTGCTAAGGCCAGCTTTCTGTGGTGACATATGTCATTGTGAACCTGCACTTTTACTGCAGCTATTATATTAGTAAACCTTAGGGCTTGGAAGAAATACATTTAAGACCTTGTGAATCCCCAAATTTAGAAATATAACATAATATAACTTCTTCCAATAGGTACAGTAACATAAAACATTTTATGTGGCACCTCTGAACTCTTTGAGAGTAAATGTTACTAAGTATTAAGAACACACAGAGATCAGCAAACTACATTAAATCAGTAATTGCCAGTGGATGTAGGAGTGGGTTGCTCCTCTGTGTTCCTTTGGCCTCTGGATTTGTGGAGCTGGGAGGAGCTGTAGGAATTGCTTCCTCTAGCAGCACTGCCCTTCCCTTACTCTCCTTTCCCTAGAGCAGCGGTTCTCAACCTGTGGGTTGCGACCCCTTTGGGGGTCGAATGACCCTTTCACAGGGGTCGCCTAAGACCATCGGAAAACACATATATAATTGCATATTGTTTTTGTGATTAATCACTATGCTTTAATTATGTTCAATTTGTAACAATGAAATTGGGGGTCACCACAACATGAGAAACTGTATTAAAGGGCCGCGGCATTAGGAAGGTTGAGAACCACTGTCCTAGAGGCTGATCGTTTATTTGCGGTTCAGTTCCTGTCTCATAAATTTACTGTTTGAATATTTAAGTACTAAATACAGTTTAAATAGACTGGGTTGAAAGAGAACGTGCAGTGATTATTTTTCCCTGTGTGGGGGGGAGTGAATAGGTGGGTGGGAGAGGGGTTAGAACAGTTGTGCCGTTCTTTAGTTCTTCCCATTGTGCGTATGAAACAGGTTTATGTTTTTGAAATTTGGCTTTAGTTTATGATGATAATTTTTATCAGGATCACATCTTAGAAAATTACCTAATGTTATTTATTTTTTCTTATATGTAGATCATTTATTCATTTTTAAAGGACTATCAATGGCATATAAAATAAAGCATCTGATATCTATCAAGATTTGTAATGAAAGTTGTAACTCGTTTGTAAAATCAATCAGTGATACTAAGTGCTCCATTAATGGTGGTAATAATGAGTTTCTGTGCGTCTGCAAGTTACTGAAATCAGGCGCCCTTTGTTTTGCTTTGCTGTAATGGCTGATAGTTCAGGGATTGTCTGTGTGGCGTGCCTGATGTCCTCCTTCTGTGTGGCACCATTGTTTGACTGGACTTGGTTCTCCACGCCTTATGCCTCAGGGAGAGCTCAGGCTGGCTGAGCTCAGGCTGGGTCGTTCCTCACGGCTGTGGAAGAAAGACTGCTCTTTCTGTGAGAACTGCACGCGTTCGCTGGTATCCTGCCTTCGTGTGGTGGCACTTTGGCACCCTGTCTGCTAGGTCTCATGGGGTCCTGCAGCAGCCAGAGTGTGCAGAAGTCAAGAAAGGGAAGAAAGGTGATGACTGGAGTACACAGATGTGCTGATGAGCTTAGGGAGGAGGGACGCGTGGCCTCCTGGCAGAGTGGACAGTCAGCGTCAGCATGACACAGTCAGCCAAGTCTTGGTCCTGCGTTGGTGGAAAAGCTAAGTGTAACTTGGAATGTTTGGATGGCTGTATTATAGAACTTGTCTCTAGCACTTATTGGAAGAGAATGTTTATGACAATAACAGAAATGAGCCAGCTGAACTGTCGTAATAGGTGTAGCTTTTTGGCAGAGGATTGTTTTTGGTGCTACATGCTTTCGGAAGCTTTTACAGCTGCCTGCTGTGCTTATACTACCACTGAGGAAAGGCCACTTATTCTTCCACTCTTGTTTTCTCCCAGTTTTCCTTGTATATCACCTAGGAACTGCTCTATGTTTTATAAAATAGAATTTTAGGTTTTTAGTATTCTACCCAGTGTTGCTAATAATTCCTGATATTTGTACTTAACCTTTGTTTTAACATTGAAAAAGGACTTTATATTGGACATATCTGTGACATTTTTATTTTTAGTTCAGTGACCTATTATACTTGGCTTATTACTTCACATTATTTTTGAAGGATAAGATCAGGTTTAAGTATAATTCTCTGATGATGCAGTGGCTGATGTCACACTGTGTTCTCAGTCCACTAGTGCTTTGACATTTGTGTCTAAAGAGTATTTCTTCGAAGAAAGACATTATAATCATAGGATCAGCACCCAGATTCCCCCACAAAGGAATGAACTCTGGAGTGGCCCCTCCTCCCTCTGGCTCACTCCACCAGTCTTCCATGAATAGACCCATTCAGGGGCAAAACCAGTGTTCAGTATCACAGTGAAAGAACCTCTGATTCTCTTCAAATTAAATAGTATAGTAAGTAAGTTATTTAATCAGGTTTGCATTTACTCATGAGTGACTGTAGTCTCTCCTCAGAGTACACAGAAAACAGTAGTGAACAGAATTAATGCTGTAAGCATAAACATTACTTTTTTCTTAAATGTTTAGACATATATTTTTATTATAAAAAACCAGGGGGAGAAAACTAAGTGTGTTTCAAAGCTTCATATTCTGTACATTTTTTTTGTATCATTAATTTAAGATCATTTGTTAGTTTTAGAAGATATAACACATGTTAGTGCATGTAATAGATCCTCAGAAAATACATGTAATATGATTTCCTGATTAAAGAAGATGCTGGGGATGAAAAAACAATTGAGGAAGGGATTTCCCTTTCTTTATTCATGTCAGGGCCCATAGGAGCCCTAACTCCTGCCCCTAGTCTGATAGCTGGGGAAGGCAGTGGTGGGCAGTGTCATGTCAGAGAGATCTAGGCTCACATTCTGGCTCTGTTCTTCACTAGCTGTTTGATTTTGGATAAGTTACGTTATCTCTCTACACTTCTGTCTTTTCCTCTGTAAAAGGAAAAGGTTTTGTGATATTCTAAAGAACTTCAGGTTGTAGAGCACCCTGCTTAGTGCCGCGAATATAGAGAGTAAGCATTGGTAATTAGTTTCAGGCCTGCCTGCACATCCCGGCTCCACTTGCAGACCTCGGCGTCTTCTCCCCTTGTCCAGTGAGGAGCCTTTGCTTTTGGTGATTACTCATGGAGAGAGCCTCATGCTTTAGTTCAGCTGTTTTGCACTTTGTATTTCAGTTTTTAGGAGTTAAGTGATTTTTGGCTAAATTTGCTACACTAATATAGGATATCAGGAAACCTTTTAGTTTAAAAGTTGATTTATAATTAATCTGCTATCTTTAGAGTACAGGCATACCTTAGAGATTATTGTGGGGTCAGTTCCAGACCATCACAATAAAGTAAGTATTACAATAGTAAGTCCTAATGTTTTTACTGGTGGAGGAGCGTCTTGCCTTCAGTTTGTTAAGTAAACACACCTGTGACTTGCAATAAAGAGAAGTGCAATAAAACAAAGTATGCCTGTACTGGCTATTTAAAGATGGTTTTATACTGTAGGTCTTTAATTTTTAATAAATATATGTAGGATAATCTGAGTCTATCATATTCTCTAGTGAAGGTCTTTAGTGCCCACAAATTAATTTAGATTTCCTAGACGCAATCTAAAGAATAAACTTTATATATTTTTTAGTTAGAATATACCTTATATGTCAAAATGCATAGATTTCAAGGGTACAGTTCAGTGAGCTTTGACAAGTGTATATGCCTATGTAACACCTACCCAAATCACAATGTAGCACAGGTCCATTACCCCAGTAATTTATGTCATGTCCCTTTCCCCCTTGTTACACTACCCTCCCCCCTTTTGATTTCTGCCAGTGTAGATGAGTTTTGCCTGTTCTTTGATTTACTATAAATGGAATAGGCAGGATGTGCTTTTTGTGAATGGCTTCTTTCGCGCAACAGTGCTTAGAGATTCATTCATGCATCTGTGCTTTTGTGATTATCAGTTGTTTCTCCTTTTATCTATAGACTTGGCATTACTTACTGATGAAGGAATTCATTCTAGCCTCATTCTAGGTATACCTGTGTCATGTGTGCCTGGCAGTAAGGTAGTCAGTGGTATAGCCATGGTAATAGTAATTATGTGGATTTAGTTGTTAATCATAGGGATCTATGATATTAAACACATTAGTATTATATAGAAGCAACAATGTGAATTGAACAATGGTGATGAACTTTCAGAAACTTCGAAATCTTAATGTCAAGTAATATTTATTCATCATTTATTGTAGGTGCTACAGAATATTTTGGAAACAGAAAATGAATACTCTAAAGAACTTCAGACTGTGCTTTCAACCTACCTACGGCCATTGCAGACCAGTGAGAAGTAAGTTAGATGATAAATTGTGTTAATTGTAGAATAGTCGTCACCTAAGGCTGTTTCCTTGTATTTTCAGAAAGTAGAGGGTGAAGTACTGGCACAGAATTTAGTGTACCAGTTTGCCTTAGACATAGGCAATTTGTTTATTAGGTTAAGACTTCAATAGGGCATCAGGATGGGAGAGGAGAGGAATATAAGTAAAACTGTTTACATATTTTTGCTGTTATTTTTCTTGGCTCTAGGTTAAGTTCAGCAAACACTTCATATTTAATGGGAAATCTAGAAGAAATATGTTCTTTCCAGCAAATGCTTGTACAGTCTTTAGAAGAATGCACCAAGTAAGTAAGATGCTAAAATTTACAAAATTCAGATTGGTATAAATGGTATTTAAAGGATCAAGTTTACCATAATTTGAGAATTTGCATTTTCAAAGATGGAAACTAGATTATTTGGAATTTTTTAGGTATATTACCTTTTATAGTAAAAGCTGCATTTTAGATTATCTAAATTTTACAGTAGTGATCTCTGAAGGAGGGATATGCTGACTAGTCAGAGAAAGGAGAAGGATTTCATGTGAGTGAGGATTTTTAAGGTGTTAGGGAAAAGTAGGGGATGAATAACCCCTGAAGAGAGGAGGATGGCTTGTGAAAGAGTGTAGAGGCACCAATGGCTTTAGTTCCTTACATGCCGCCATGTGCTACATGGGAAGGCGTGTGTGCACACACCCTTGAAGGCCAAGTCTTCTGAGTGTCTTCTTCCAGCATGTGTTGTTCCTGCCCATCAGGAAGCTGAGAAATTGTAAAGCACTACATGCATAATGTGATGTTTGGAAGTATTAAAGGCTTGGTTTTGTCAGTTTTCCAAGATATTATTTTTTCGGGGGTAGGGGACGTGTGTTCTGGATGATCAGACATGAGATTTTTTTCTGTGTGACTATTTTATGTTCTTTTTTTTTTTTTAAATATATTTTATTGATTTTTTACAGAGAGGAAGGGAGAGAGAGAGAGAGTTAGAAACATCGATGAGAGAGAAACATCGATCAGCTGCCTCCTGCACATCTCCTACTGGGGATGTGCCCACAACCCAGGTACATGCCCTTGACCCGAATCGAACCTGGGACCTTTCAGTCCGCAGACCGATGCTCTATCCACTGAGCCAAACCGGTTTCAGCTATTTTATGTTCTTTGTTAACATGAGGCATTAAAGGATATTTATTAATGCCTGCTGGGTGTTGGATGACTTAAAGTCATAATGCACATGAAAAGTTTTGAGATTTTAATCCACCAGATGATATTTATGCTTATTTGTTTGTGGGCTGATAAAGAAAGCTAACACATTTTATTTTTGCATTATCTTTATTTTTGTAGCCACCAGAAGGACCAGAAAACTTTTTCTCTTCGTTGGTCTCTGGTTTTCCTTCCAGCTTTTTGTATGTGTCTTTCTCATTCTTGGAAGAGGCCTGCCCTTGGTGCCAGGAGCTCTTTAAATTGCTAACAGTTTGCCATGCTGAAAGTAGGTTTGCTCTCTCAACTTTGGCTTCAAGGTTTCATAGAGGAACTTCATATTGGAAGGTGTGGCAAGGAAAGCTGAATGTCAGTGTAACCAAATCCTGGCTCTCAAACAGCAATTGACATTTTTTGTTGTAATTGTTTGCAACATTTTTGGCTTACATAAAATTACATGCATGATCATAACTAGGGTAGTGTTCCCTTTGGTAAATGAAGGTTATTTGGCAGCAGTGTGGGTTTTTTGCAAGAGGCCAGTCCTGTTGTGTACAAAATGGAAGTAAATGTTTGCTTCTCCTTCCCACTGGCATAGGTAATGTAGACTAAATAAATTAATATTTATGCAGTACATTTGGCAATACCTCTTGCAAGCCTCATGTAAGCCTTGTGAAATAGGGCAAACATTACTATCCTCACAGCATAAATTTAAAAACGGAAGTTCAGGGTGGCAGAGGAAGGTTAATGGTGAATAGCACCAGATGTTAGACCTTGGTCCTTGAGTTTGACTAAGAAAGAATTCAGAGCCAAGAACTCAAATGGGTTATATAGAAAGTCACAGAGGAGGAAGAAGTGAGCCGCTGGGCTGCATGGACTCAGGAAACAGGTTACAGAGGCAAAAGAACGGAGCTTAGGGGAAAGAAAGAAAAGGTATGTGCTTTGAGGGAACAAAGGGGAGTGGGGAGAAGGTATGGGCCTGCTCAAGAGAGTGGGAGAGCTTGCACTGGGTCCTTCATCTTAAGGGGTTTTAGCTGTTTTCCAAAGACAGGGATTTTAGGGGAGGTCTTGAGAGGATCTCAGTAGAATATTCATCAGCTTTCTGGGTATGTTCTTTCAGTGTCATGATCTCTACTGATTGGTTGGACCTATGGATCATTAGTTCTTGCAGCTGGTCCTGATGTCAGCCATGGTGTTGCTTCCTCTGATTTTGCTGCTTTCCTGGGCCTGAAGCTGAAAACTGTCTCTATGGTCAACAGACCTCAGACTTTGTTCCTAAGATTATTTGATGCAGTCAGAACCTCATTATCCTTGGGGCTTAATGCTTAAGGGAGTGGTCATGCAAGGGCTTTTATAGGAGTTGAATGAGGCTATTCTCTGGCCCTCTTGTTCCTCCTCCAAGGGGGTCTACCACATTATTAGCAGCATGCTAGGGGAGAAAAGGTGGCGGTGAGTATAGTGAATTCTGGCAAAATTAGGTTGAGTGAGGTAATAAAACTCTAGGGCCAGGCTCAGTGGGGCCAAAGAAAGAAAACCTTGTACAATGAAGTAATTGTTCATATGTAAACCATACTAACTTAATTTTAATTGATGAAATATAAGAAATGAAATCCATTGGCTTAGGTAACAGGTACGTTCTCCTTTGAATGTATCAACAGCTGTGGTGTTGGATCAGGTTGGAAGTGAAATCATAACAGTATATGGCACAGCACTGAGCAATGAAGTCTTAATAGTTTAATCATTTTCATGTGCACATCTCTAACAATGTTCTTCTCTTGTTCATAAAACTTTGTCATCCTATCATTGCAGTTACCTTCAACTCCCTCGGCTCAGCAGTTGGGGTTCCCTGCTAGAGCTTTCCATTCTAGAAGCCAGGATCTACTATTTCACTTTGCTCCTGAGTATGAACATCACCTGCTCAAATGCCAGTATGTAGTAGTTTGAAAATAGGTGTGTCTCAGGTGTCTGGATCCTGGTAGAAAGCAGGTGGTCCGATGTATCTTCTGGTGCTGCATCCTCGCTGTGTGTGATGACTGGTCTTTGGGTGATTTGGAAAGGATGCTGGCTGGCCTTTGTGCCTTCTCCTGGAGGGTGTGTGCTTTCCTCCTCTGTGGGCTGGCAGCAGTTCGTGTCATAAAATTGAGGCATCATCGGCTGTCTTATATTTCTTTAATTTTTGTATGTGTTTCATTTTACCCAAAAAGATTGCAGTCACTTTTAAGGTAGACAAGATTTCTTACCTTTTTAATCTGTTCCCAGTGTCTGAATAAATAGTCGAAGTTTGTTTTTTAGGTCAGTGGTTATTAATATTACAGATAGAGTTGTGGCTAATTCCTGAAGGCTATTAAAACCCCCACTTAGGAGTTCACTCTTGGAAAAGAGTCTGCTAGCTGTTCAGATGCTAGTTTACATTGACTTCAGATAAGGATAAATGAACTAAACAATAAAACCTCGATAAGCCTGGTTATTGCCTTATGTAAATGATGTTGATGGAATTACTGTGCCTTTTCGCATAATAGTAATGGTGATAATTGCCTTCATTTTTTGTCTGCTTGCTTTTTTCTATATCTGCCACTAATTTATTCATGGCTTATGTTCATTTCTTTCAATATATTCATATGTACACTAGGTACTTGTTAATGTTATATTGTAGAAGTCACTCTGGAGCCTTCGGGTTTTCACCTCTAGCCATGCTGCCTGGTCTCAGAGTCTCCCTTGATTATCATCCTGCTGCCTTTCACCACCTCCGTGTTGGACACTGGTGTCTTCCTGTCTTGTTGCTGCAGTCTCTCATTTGCTAGGACTGTCCTGAGGAAAGAGTCCATAGAGACAATTAGTTCATGTTCATATTAATTATGATGCATGGAGGTAGAATTGTTGGAAATTGTTTCCATCCACTGTTTAAGGTTCAATGTTGTTGAGAAGTCCTGGGCCATTCTAATTCCTGATTCTTTTGTTTGAAACTCGTGTTTTCCCCTCAAAGCCTTTAGTGTCTTTGTTTCTAGAATCCTGAACTTCGATGCTGATGCATATATTGGGTTTGTGTCATTTTGCATCCCTCCTGCTGGCACTTTGGGTTCTTTCCATCTGGAGATTCATGTCTTTTAGTCTGCCGAATTTTATGATAATTTCTTTGATTTACTTTTGTTTATTTTGTTTGTTTTCTGTATCTGGAATTTTTATCCTAACGTGGAACTGCTTGTCCTGGTCTTTTAATCTTCTCTTTCCCATTAATCTGGGAGATTTCAGAGCTTCATTTTCTAGATTTCTTTTGTCTTTCTCAATTGCTCTTCCATTTTAATTTTCAAATGCTCCTTTGCTTTTGTCCTGAATGTTCTTATTTTCAAGGTATCAGTAAGAACGTCCAAACCTGTAGAGGATTTTTATAAAAATTTATTTGAGCCACACTGGGGACACACCTGTCAACAGACTGAGATAACAATTTGCAGTTTCTTTTTGTGCATTTGAAATTAAGGAGGAGCTAAGGAAGATTACATGGAGATGGGAGAAAGCAAGGTGGGGATTAGATTACAGAATAGTTAAGAAAAGATGAGCCCGGCCTGTGTGGTTCAGTGGTTGAGCGTTGACTCATGAACCAAGAGGTCACCAGTTCAATTCCCAGTCAGAGCACATGCCTGGGTTGTGGGCTTGATCCCCGGTATTGGGCATGCAGGAGGCAGCTGATCGATGATGTTTCTCTCATCGATGTTTCTCTCTATCCCTCACCCTTCCTCTCTCTCTTCAGAAATCAATAAAAACATATTTTAAAGAAGAAAAGATGAAACATTACTAAAAAGATATAGGCTTGGGGCATGACTGCCCACCATGACCTGCCCAGTTAGGAATTTATAATCAAATCACCCTGTGAGGTTACTTTCCATAGGAAACCCCCCTCCCCCCCCTTTTTTTCCTCATCCACAAAAGCATGCTTTTCCTTTTTTTATAGATCTTGTGTTATTTCTTTCAGGATTAATTACAATTCTTCTGTATATTTTTCTGCTCCCTGCAGAGTAACTATAATGTCCCTCTCCTCCCCCACCCCCCTTTCATAGATTCCCACCTTTTGTCCTTTGTTGTTCTCGTTAGATTTTTTTTTCAAAAGTATTTGGTCATATTTCTGTGTCTTCTTATAATTAAGATTGGCGCCCTAAACTCTTGAGTGGAAGTGCTGACCATAGGTTATAACTTGTTGACTGTTTTTTTGGAGAACCCCTGCTGTTACTATTTTATGCTCGATTTTTCTCTGGGTCTGATTCCCTCAGGAGAAGAGAAGGCTTTTTTGGTTTCCTGCTTTGAGGGTTGAAATCCTTTCTGTCTGTGTTTTGGGGTTCTGATGACAAAGGAGACTGGGGTGAGGGTGGTTGGTTAGTGTCCTTTCACGGTCCCTTTTTTCTAAGGATTCCTGCTGGTATGCTCAACCAGTGACCTTCTGGTCCACAAAGATAAGTGTCTTGCTGCCTCACAGACCTTTACCCAGCTGTTTGTGGCCCCACCGCTGAAGGGCAGCCCGATTGCAGGGGGCCCCGGTGTGATCTTGGAGTTGGATTTGCCTGCCCAGTTATGACTGCTCATTATATGCTTTTCAGCTTCCAAAGTTGGTTCTTCCAAAGTTTTAGTTCTTTTTGTTCTTGTGAGTTGATGCCTTCTAAAGAATTGAGGCAACCGTCACCCGTCATATAGTGTGGATTTGGGAAGGAGAGCGTTGATAGATGTGCTCAATGTCCAGTCTTCACCTGAAGGAAAGGTGGCTTTTGTACTTTTTATGTGTGTGCATATCTTGATGCTACTTTGGTAGAAAACCGTACTAACCAAATAGTCACATTTTATAATTCTCCTTGTTTCATGCAACATGTGAGGCTTCATGACATCTACTAGTATTTTCCTCACGACCCAAAGAAGCCTAGACTTGGGGGTTTGTAGCTCTGCTATGCACAGGTCCTGGCATCTGGATGGAGGAAAGGTTGGGGGTTAGTTCACTGTTTCGTAGCAGAGCAGCTTTCAAGGTAAGTACTTCTCCCTGCTGTATGCCTGCTTTGAACAGAAATATTCTTGGATTTGGATATTTTGTTTTCATAGAGGTGGTACACAAGGAGGTCTTTCTTGCTCAAAATAATCTGTTTGTTACTTAGCAATTTTCCTTCTGTCTATAAAATTTAGGATTATTTCCTTTGTGTTGCATGTCTCCAGGTTGCCTGAAGCTCAGCAGAGAGTTGGAGGCTGCTTTTTAAATCTGATGCCACAGATGAAAACCTTGTACCTTTCATATTGTGCCAATCACCCATCTGCCGTGAATGTTCTCACAGAGCACAGGTGCGTTCACTTAGACCTCTTACCTGAAAGGAAAGGACTTCTGGGGTACCCTCCAAAATACTAATATTCACTTGATTATTCAACAATGAAAATGTTAATTACCCCTTGAAATTAGTGCCTGAAAAGTACTGGTAAGACGTCTTTGAAATGCATATTAGAATTTGTATAATGGAAAGGTTATTTTTAAATGTCTCCCCTTCAGTCTAGACTAGAGCTCTTTGGACAATGACTTGAAGTTGCTGGTAAGTATTCTGGAATGTAGCTACAAGCTAGATCAGGGTACCAAATCAGTTTTCTTTTAGGCCATAAAACTGGAAGTGCATGAGACAGATTTTCTGTAAAAGATAATATCTCATTTAAAATGAGGGCTGGGTTTTATAGGTATATTTAACATTAAATTGGAGACAATCAGCAACCTGAAACAAAATTAAACACGTGAAACAGAATGTACAGATTTTCTGCTAGGTTGTTAAACAAGGCTGGTCTGTTTCCTGAGAATTCTAAGAAGACTGAGGAATGTTTCAGTCGTTAGCAGATGTTAGCACAAGAGGCACAGATTTTTATTAATAAGTTTTAAAAAATGTTTATGGTTTCTTTTTTGAACCCTTTTAAGCTCGTGGGCCCAGGTCACCTCACATCTGTAAAAATGTCTATTTCATAGGGCTATTGTAAGCATTAAGCAAAATACATGCATAAACTGATCTGAAGTGAGTGAACATGATAAATGCCCTGAAATGAAGCAGCAGTCTTTGACATGTTGATGAACAGAAGGGAGATTAGGATATATAGTGTCCAACAGAAACAAAAAACCCAAAGGACCCCCAATCCCTACTCAATACTTCGCCCTCCCTCACCTTTCCAGGAGGGTGGGCTATGTTAGCACACACCTTTCTGAAACCATGAAACATGCATTCAGTTATGCTCTTGCTGTCTACTCCTGGGAATTAAAAATTAAATGAAATTCCTACAGACTTGAAATGCAAGGATTACATTGTGTTTCTGAAAAGTTTAAAAGGAATTATTGATGCAGTCATAGGGGAGATAAATAGAAAGCAAATAGAATGCTAGGGCAAAATTATGATCTTTTTTATCTTTGCTCTCCATCCCTCTTTTTGTGGGGGAATGCTCTAAGATTGGGTTGGAAGTTTGATGGGAGTGAATAATTTTAGGGAAAGATTCTCACTAAATATTTTTCTCATTAAAGTGAGGATCTGCCCTGAGGATGACATTTAAAGCAAATTCAGACTGTTAAAGTTTCCTAAAATAACATTTCCAAGGAAATGCTTTTGAGTATGTGCTGTTTATCCTCTCTTCTGTACTATTACTTTAATGACTGTGTCATAGCTGAAATGTAAGTGTAGCATTTCCCCAAAATAACAGGGAAAGAATAGATGTTTCTGAGTGGGGAAACTGTGCAGGACTCCTCCGTGTGGCTTGTCCCAGAGTTGGGAGGTGGGTGGAGAAGTCATGCTCTGGCCGTGTAAGCCTTGGAGAGGACGCGGCAGGATGCACTGCCTGTGTGCCCCCCTGAGGTCCCTGAGCAGCCAGAGTCCCCACTCCGTTCACAGGTCAGACCCCACTTCTGAAGCGTAAGTCCATGAATGGAGATGAGGATCGCAGTTGGCTAGTAGCTTCTGTCAGGGTTCACCACTTTTCATTCTGAATCTTAACTTGTAACCTCTTTCCTATGTTTATGCCTGAGTATGTTTTTTAAGGATTAAGTGTAGTGTTTTGAAATTTTCAAATCTTATTTTCAGTCTTATTGGGTTAGTTTAAATTCTGAGTATGAATTTGTGAATACATTCACAGAACCACCAATTCTAGAATTATAGCTGATATGTATCTTTTGCATTATCATATGATAGTAGACATCATATATTCATGGTTGCCTATTTTGAATGAATTATAGGTTTCATAATTTAGTCTGTAAAATGAGTTTTGTTTTCCCCCAGTACTTTAATTGTTACTTTTTGCTTGGCTACAATATAGTTTTCCTTATTTGTGTTTCTTTTGTTGCCTTCTTGCAGCCCACAGTGTCATTTCAGTAAATACAGAGGAGATTCACTGTATAAGGATTGCTCACATCAGTAGAAAGAGCCATTGTTTCGTCAAAATAGCTGTAACCAACTGTTTTATTTTATTGTACTAAATTAAAAAATGAACCATTGATTTATAAAGTTCTGTTTCTTTTCTTAACTGCATATGTTCTGGCATTATAAAAATGTCATATGTATTTTAAAAGATGTTACTTTTGCTTGCAAAAGTTCACTTACATTTTAAGTTGTAGGGTTTTTTTACGGGGATGAGGGGTGATAAGGATAACTTGCTTAGTTTTATTCATATTTCTCAGTTATAACTATAGTTATAAAATATAAAATATAATCCTTAAATATCAAAAGTGACATAAATAGACTTTTCGGTGATTTTCCTGTAGTAGAAAGGCCCTGCATGGATTGTATTTAAAGGAGGGGAAATATACTTCTAGTATCATAAAGTTTTAGTTTTATGCTTGATCAGTTGTTCAATTCTTAGAGAAATGGATATAAAATATAAATTGCTCCTTCTTAAATCCATCATTTTACTCATGCTTTAGGGCAGTGATGGCGAACCTTTTGAGCTCGGTGTGTCAGCATTTTGAAAAACCCTAACTTAACTCTGGTGCCGTGTCACATATAGAAATGTTTTGATATTTGCAACCATAGTAAAACAAAGACTTATATTTTTTATATTTATTTTATATATTTAAATGCCATTTAACAAAGAAAAATCAACCAAAAAAATGAGTTCGCGTGTCACCTCTGACACGCGTGTCATAGGTTCGCCATCACTGCTTTAGGGGTTGACAGAGTGAGTAATTTGAAGAGGAGCATTTCTGAGTAAGGATTTATGAGGAGTGGGGGGGGGGGGGGGGCAGGGAGGGGCACGTGAGTGTGAAAGACAAAGCAGTATGGTATGGTCAGAGGGGCCAGACCAGACACAGTGTGAACCTCTTGGGTTCAGCTGTCCTGCTAGCAGTGAGAACAGAGGCAGTTGCGGTCTTGCTGGGAGTCCTCATCTGTAAACATGCATAATAATCCTTGTGGCACAGGCCCAGAGTGATGCTTATGGGAATCATGTACAGAAGCATTTGCTCTGATGCCCAGCACAGAGTGCTGGTCCCATAGTGTCACTCCCTTCTCTCCGTCCTTTTTCCTGACTGTTCTTTCTGCAGCTCTCACTTCTGCCTGAGCTCAGCAGAGGGTTGGGGGAGGTGGGAGGAAGGCAGCAGGTTGAAGTCAGTCTTGGGGTACTCTTCACTTACCCGCCTATCTCTTGTGGGAAAAGGCAAAATGATAAAACTATGCTAACAGGTACTCCAGGATATTGCTTATAGCTTTTAAATCACTATGACTTCTGGGATGCACACTAGACTAATCACAACAAGGTTCTGAAATATCACTATTCCTGGTTTCAGTAATCCCAGCCCTGTGTTTTTCCTGAGAAAAACATTCTTAGAAAGCACAGAGTTATATACACAGAGATACGGAATTGTGAGTTGGTTACGAAAGCAGGCACACACACAGCCCTAGAAGGAGTTTGACAGCTTCTTTGGTAACATTTTAAATTGCGTCACCATGATGGCTGTCTTAACTGGAAGGACATCATCATGAAGCCTTATTTCTTACAGAAATGAGAAAATGTTTATTTTATGTGTTTTTATAGCTAGGATTATATTTTCACTTTTTTGTAGTTTGCTTTGATTTTTATAATATCTCCTAAATGGTATATGTGTTTGTTTATTTAAAAAGTTGATATTAAAGACATGTATGTGTAGATAAATCAGTAGATAGATAGCTGGCACTATTAACATTATTACTGTATTTTTTATGCAGTCCAGGAATACACTCTGATTTTTTATATTTACTTATTAAATATATTTTTATTGATTTCAGAGAGGAAAGGAGAGAGAGAGGGAAGTGGAAACATCAATGATGAAAGAGAATCATTGATTGGCTGCCTCCTGCACGCCCCACACTGGGGATCGAGCCTGCAACCCTGGCATGTGCCCTGACCGGTAATGGAACCGTGACCTCCTGGTTCATAGGTCGACGCTCAACCACTGAGCCGTACCGACTGGGCTGCATTCTGATTTTAAATGCAATGTACCTTGCTTACTTAACCAGGTCCCCCGAGTTGTCACAAACTTGAATTTAGATAGTAGTAGTCTTCTAAAGAGGTCTTACATGCTTAAGCAAAGTAAGGCTAATTTCCTAGTGATTAATTAATTTGTTTTCAAGCTGATATTTGAAACCTTATATTTCTAAGTTGGTTTAGTTAAGTAAGATGATTTCTCCTTTATTTTTATTTTTTTTAAATATATTTTATTAATTTTTTACAGAGAGGAAGGTAGAGGGATAGAGAGCTAGAAACACCGATGAGAGAGAAACATCGATCAGCTGCCTCCCGCACACCTCCCACTGGGGATGTGCCTGCAACAAGGTACATGCCCCTGACCGGAATTGAACCTGGGACCTTTCAGTCTGCAGGCTGACGCTCTATCCACTGAGCCAAACCAGTGAGGGCTGATTTCTCCTTTAGATGCATCACTGTGGTCAGTTGAGGATGGGATAAGAGGTGGGGAGTACCAACACCAATTTTTGCTCTCACACCTTCTCACAATAAAATCCTTTTAGGTTGAACCATAGGAAAGTGTTATAGTCACCACTTTTGAGCTGACATTTTCAAATGGTTTATCTTAAATTTTGTAAGGAGCCCTTGGAGTGGCTGCTGGTCCTAAGAAGTTTGGGCAGGGGGCCAATTAGACCTGGGTGGGTGGAGGGATGGAGGAAGTGAGGCAGCAGCTGGGTCCCTGTGGTCAGATTCAGGTAACCTACATTGAGGGCGAATGTGTTCAGTTATTCTTTAGCATCTTATTTTATGGCTTCATTTATAATGCTCTTCCTAATAGTTGACATGGAGCCTCGGAGTTCACTCTCTTCTCTTCCCAGTGGGTGACCTGACCTGGTGCCTCTTTTCTCCCAGCCTGTCTATCCCTCAGTTTCCCATGTCTGGAATGACATGTGCAGCAACAGTGAGGAACACAGATCCAGGTCCTCACATGGATCCTAAACATCATTTGTCCTGCAGTGGAGAGACAGAAACGCAGAGTTTCAGCCACTGATACGAGTCATAAATGTGTCAATGACAGAGGTTGACTCCCATTGCACTCCTGGCCATCCTGGGTCATTCTAAACCTAGGGCTGCTGAATTGGATATGATATTCATGGCAAACAGTGTATGCATGATACTACAGGGCTCAGGAGGGCATTGTTTGTTGTAAAAGGTACACGAATAATAGTGAAGTTGAGGGTGAAAAAGTAGTAAAATATTACAAACTTCTTTTTAAGCTTTTTAGAGTTCTGAATATATATAGTCAGTTTTCTCAACATTAAATGGGAACAACTTTATTTGATAATGTATGGATTTGATGAAATATTGATGTGGAAATATTTTTGAAATTTTAAAACTTAAATAAATATTAAGTATTTTATTGTGCCACATTGTGCACTCTAAAGGAAATACTGTTGCTCTCACAAGTGCTTTAGGTTGCAGTCGATGTTCAGGGGATGTTGGGTGGACTGATAAACGTCTGGAGTGTTAACGCTCTGATTCAGGTTATTAGAGTTTTAAAGCATTTTTCTCCTCTTACATTTTTTACCATTTTGAAGTTCCCATATAATTGGAATCTATTTGAGCTCTAAGACTGCACACTTACATTTGACCCTTCTGTATGAAATTGGCTTGTTGAAATGACCTTTCTTGAGTAGAATTGTATAGGTGACTACATGTATTCTATATTATGCACAATTGTTTTTACTCATAATGAGAGACGTAACATGAACCTTCTGGGGTTTCCTTTGGTGTTTTGAAATAACCAGCACATGTTTGGTTAGAAAAACTATAGTTTTGACAATATAAATGGTATGCTGTTATATTTTTGCTAGTGGGATAAGGGAGCGTCACTATGGTGAACTCTTAACAGCAGTGTCTTATTCTTTCATTGCTTGCGGCTTGTTGCTTAGTGAGGAGTTGGGAGAGTTCATGGAGATGAAAGGTGCCAACAGTCCGGGGATTCTCGTGTTGACCACTGGCCTCAGCAAACCATTCATGCGTCTGGATAAGTACCCCACTCTGCTCAAGGAACTCGAGAGACACATGGAGGTACTGCTTATCACATGTCTGTCCCTGGAGTCCATTAGCCACTGTAAGAGAAATTATTAATGATTTACTTTGGAATCAACAAAAAGAGTTTACCAAGGTTTTTTAATTCAGTGGATTTTCCAAATGATTTTTTTAAGTATTAATTTTTTTCTCCTTATCCCAGCTCCTTTATTTCCTTTTTCACCCACTGCTGCTGATAGAAAAAGTTTCAAAAGGTAGAAAATGCTAATAGCATTGAAGAGTCCTAGCAGGAACATTTAGCTACAATTATTAAGTGCATAAGTTGTGGAGTAATATAATGTAAAAGCATCATTTAATTAAAGATAGGTATTTATCTTATTTCTGAAAAACAGGCTGTGAGCCTTGCAGAAGTTTGGGTTTGGTGAACTATTGGCTAGGGTTTGGTGAGCTTTTCCTGTCAAGGGCAGGCCATTGGTCTTCTCCACAACTGCTCGCCTGCTGCCAAGGCAGGAGAGCCGAGTATTAGGAGTGGGTGTGGTGTGTGCTGTCTGCATTCACCACAGCAGATGTTGCTCTCCTGACTCCAGCTCCAGCTCTTGGCTTCTCTCTTCGAATGATTGTTTCCCCTAAGGCCACTGGCTCCATGATTCCCTTAAAGAATAAGAGGCGGCACTTTAATGCTGGGAAAAATAGGACATATAGGATATATTACAGGTTGAAAAGTATTGGAAGATTCAGTAGAGTCTATAGAGAATGTCTTTTTAAGAAAAAGCTTTTCATTATAAAAGCTAATGGTGTGTTTCTTTTACTCAAGGATTATCATCCGGATAGACAAGATATTCAAAAATCCATGACTGCCTTCAAAAACCTTTCAGTAAGTGATTAAGCATATTATGGAGTGTTTTTTCTTACATAGTATTATGGCAAATGAATGCAGAAAAACTGTTTATCAGCTAAAAAAGTTAGATAATAAAAAAAAAAATTACCGCCCTAACCGGTTTGGCTCAGTGGATAGAGCGTTGGCCTGCGGACTGAAAGGTCCCAGGTTTGATTCTGGTCAAGGGCATGTACCTTGGTTGCGGGCACATCCCCAGTAGTGGGTGTGCAGGAGGCAGCTGATTGATGTTTCTCTCTCATCGATGTTTCTAACTCTCTATCCCTCTCCCTTCCTCTCTGTAAAAAATCAATAAAATATATTTTTAAAAAAAATTACCTGTGAAGTATAATTAAGGTTTACTCTGGTGAAATAAAAATAAGCATACATAGTAGTTATTCCATGACTGGTAAGTTCTCATGCTTTACTAGCTTTGGAGACTAGAACAATGAAATGATAATTGTTTAAATTTTTTTAAAGGCTCCACATATTTGATGCATTAGCTACCTGAAAATGACTTACACATGTTTTAGCCTTCATCCAGTCAGTGTCTTTAGTGATAGAGTAAGAAATGGAATACTGGTGGTTCCATTTTATTTTTTGTCTGCTGTCTTATTGACTGTGTTTCTGAGATACACACCTTATAGCATAAATGCTACTTATCTTTTTTCCCCTCTTAGTCTTCTATATTGGCAGATATTAACAAAATCAGAAAATATTTTTCTTGTCCAGTCTGCATTTTTTCTTCCATAAGTGGCAAAATATGCTATATTTTTCTAAAACAGTGTTTCTTATTTCAAAGGTTTGCCTCTCTGGACTTGATTCCATGCTTGTGAATTAAACACATTGTTCAGTAGATTACGTGTCTTAAGAAGAATTAAGATACAAAGCAATATGGCCAAAACTTACAATTCTGGAAGTTTGTCTCTTTTAATAGTGTTTTACTATGTTTTCCAGGCCCAGTGTCAAGACGTACGGAAAAGGAAAGAGCTGGAGTTGCAGATCCTGACGGAAGCCATCCGGAGCTGGGAGGGAGATGACATTAAGACCCTGGGCAACGTCATTTACATGTCCCAGGTCATGATTCAGTGTGCCGGAAGTGAGGTACTGTCATGCAAGTGTGCAGAGAGGATGGGAACAGCAGTGGAAGAAACACATGCCATGGAAGGGACACCAGCCATGTGCTGTTGGACTTCGTTCTTATTCTAGTTTCTCAGTTGTTTTCCCTGAAACCATTAAAAAGTCTCGGATAAAAATTAAGAGCTGAACATAATTTGCATTAAATGTTTTTATGTTTTATAAATGCTTTTTAAGTTTTCTTAGTGACAGTCAAGATATGTTTTGATGATTGTGTGATACAAGATTTTAAAGGACTACCAAATGATGACAACATTTTAATAGGACTCCTAGCTTATAATTTGTCTACTTTTTGTCCTTGCCAAATATAAAAGTGGTTTCCGGTATGTTAGCAAGGCTTAGCTGGCTGTGGACTACTTGACCAGTTAAGATGCAGCCAAGAGCAGTTATGATCAAAGTCTATATCAGTGTCAACTAAGAGATGGTGTCAGGAGAGGATTTTAGATCCCTCGTTAGTAGTCCAGTTTGGCAAATGTCTGCCACAGAGAAGTATGGGCTTCTGGCCATGGGCTTCTTACCAACACTGCCATTCCAGGAAATCTGTTTTCCATGGTTAGATCATTATACTGTTCTATTATCTAATACTAATTGACATTTGCTTATGGGAATCACAGGTTTGGTTTAAGTGAGAGATGAAACCAGATCCTTGTGCTATCCCCACACAGGGAAATTTGAGCAGTTTGTGTTTCAGTATTCACAAGTTACATCTTCATTGGGTCACTAAGCTAGTACCTCTTTATGAATTCTGTTTTACCTTTATAAAAAATTATCAACATGATCAAAATATGCTCACTACCCATTTCAAACATGACATTTTTAGGGCAGTAAGAAAAGTGAAACTTGTACTCACAATGCACATTCCTTCCTGCCTATGAAATTAAAAAATGATATCAGCCCACTAGTTGTTAATTTGGGTATCATAAGAAATCATGACTTTCTAATAGACTACAATGATTAAAGAAAACAACCCAAATCTTAATTCTTTTTTTTAAGTTATGCACTTTTAAATTTTATTTAAAAAATCTATAGAAACATTTCTCAGTGTTTTCTTTATAATATTAGATCTAGAAAACATTCACTCAAAAAAAAAGATTTAAAGTTATAATGATGACTGAAAAGATAATAATATCCCTGTTTCCCTCCCTCCCTTCCACTTTCTGTAAAAATCAATGGGAAAAAAATCCTCCCGTGAGGATTAACAAAAAAAGGAAATAGAAAAAGGAGGGGAATATAATAAGTACTTTTCAACAACTTCTTTAGAGTATAGAATGTCTTTTTCAAGGCACTTTGCATGTGGCTGATGTTCTGAAGGCTACTTGGAGACATGGCTTCCTAGTATCATTTTGCCTTTGTGGGCAGTGGTTAAATGGCAACTTGTGACAAAGGCTATCTGCATGTTCCTTCTGTGTCTCCTTTTAGGTTCTGGGAATTTTTGTCCTTTAGTTGTGGTCTCTGGGGCTTTACTTACCTTATGGAAGTGAATGATTTCTAACACATAAATAATGCTTTTAAGCCTTTCGTGTACACTAGATTAAGTTTACGGGATGGATGCGAACAACATTAAATTGATATATCGGGAGTTATAGGGAAGTGCCAGGAATTATTAATAGACCAAAATTGATTTTGATGTTTTATTTTACCCACTTTTTAGCATGAAAGGTCCACCTATTTCCCCTCCTCCCACTAAAATTTTACAAGTTCTTTTGTTGTTTTTTCCTCGATCACAAAAATAAAATTTTAGATTAATTATAAAAAGAGTTAATGGCAACACTAAATCCCTTAACCAAATTTTTAAAAAAGATGTTACATGGGCTACTTGTGAGTCTAATAATTCATTCTAATTTTGTTTCCATTTAATATAGCTAATGTAATTTGGTAGAAATACCTAAATGGAAAATATAATGCAATGTTTCAGAAGATTTAGTTTAAATATTTGTTTTCACATCTGTAAATACATGTTTTTGGATTTATTTGTTCTTTTACTTTAGGAAAAGAATGAAAGATATCTTCTACTCTTCCCAAATATTTTGCTTATGTTGTCTGCCAGTCCCAGGATGAGTGGTTTTATCTATCAGGTAAAACACATTTTAAATTTATTTTTTATTGTGTGTCTGAGAATCATTTCCAGGCATATTTTGAATATTTTCATTAAATAGTAGCTATCCCTATTTATGCGTTGTGTTTAGTGTTATGTGTATAGTGTTATACATTCAAATATGTACATACATCTCCTGTCTGTGTATTTTGATGTCACTGTACAAACATCCTGGTATTAATCCTAAGCGAAAAAAGAAGGAAACAAATGAAACTGACAGAACTATCTCCTAAGGGCACAGATCCTGAGGTGCAGGGTAAGCTGTGCCACCCCCTAAAGTCATATTTGCAGTTGCCACTTCTTTCCTGGTCATTGTGCCATCATAGGTGCCACTGTGGGTTGGGCTGGGCTTCAGACTGAGACGCTTCATAAGCAGTATAGCACTGTAAGAGGCATTGGCAGATGTCAGGTGTTATAAGTAGTAGTAAATGATCATTTATCCTCTTTATACTAGTGTTCTGTAATTTCACTGATTTTCTTTGAGAAGATATGAGAGCTGATTTAAATGAAAACACAGGGCGGATCTTTTCTGTTTTTTTGTTTTTTGTTTTTTCGGTGGTTGTTTTTTTTACACAGTCATCCCTTGGTATCTGCAAGGGACTGGTTCCAGGACTCCCTCTCAGATACCAAAATCCATGGATGCTGCTCAAGTCTCATATAAAATGGCATGGAGCAGTGCTTACAGTCGGCCCTCCCCATCCTCGGGTTCCCAGTCATGGATAGAAGATACTGTTTTTGATCTGCAGTTGATTGAATCTGTGGATGTAAAACCGATGGATAGGGAGGTCCGACTGTAATTTACAATGCTGGTATTGAGCAGATTATATTTTCCCTGTATGTCTAATAGGTGCTTCCAGAAAGGTTGTATTCCCTTTTTTCTGTGTAGTTAGAGAAGCTAATGCCTTTCCCATCAGTATGTAAAGGCCTGGCCAGTCACCAGATACTGCTTCAGCAGAAGTCACCACTTCGTTTCCTTTGAGTTGCATTTCTTCAGAATAGTGGGTTGTTTCATATTGTCCGCAACAAGAACACTGGTGAATCCTCAGTCAAAAGTGTCTACAGCTTGTTTATATCTCCAGAAAGCTTTATCTGCCATCCAGAGAGTTGTCATCACACAGTTATTCCAAAAGGAGCACTTTAAAGTTGATAAAGCAAATATATATGGACAAACCCAGAAAAATAATACCTCTTGATTTGTAAGTCTGTTTCTGAGCAGTTGTTTAGATATAGCAGCTACTTGGGTTCCCTCAAACTGGCAGCTCCTGCTTTGTTAAATGACCCTGATAAACATAAAGCAGAGTCCTTTATTGTCAGCACTCTCTGGCTTCATGTTTCCTATCTTAAGAGACTGAATGGGGCCCTCCTCTGGCCTGAGGAAGCAGAGGTTGCCCTTTGGGTCAGGCCAGGCCCCTATGGATGACCAGGCTGGTGAGTTTGCTCTGGATGTTGGCATTGATGTGCCGCGGGAGGTCAGACCACGTGTGTGACCTGTTTTCCCACTCTGCACAGTTTCCTGGGAGGCGTCGCTCTCTGAGTGCTGTGACCTATGTATTGTGAATATTTATATCTGGCTTTGACGGACATTAGAAAGCATTAAATCTAGCAGTAACCGGAACATTCTATCCCTTGGTGTTGATTTACTAGGTTAAAAGCAGTCACACAGCTTTATTTCTGTAGGACTTCTCAAAGCTACTAATACACTTGTGTGCATTACGAATCTTGGAAAGGAGTGCACAGTATACAGCATTTTTCAAATTCATCCGACCCTAGAAGGACCAAGTACTGGCTAATGTTTCACCACCAAATGCCAGGACAGGCTTTCTCGGTGGACTGGATCGTTCTAGTTCCATGAGCTGTAGGAGGATGTTCAGCAGCACTTCTGGCCTGCTTCCCTATATGTATCGGGAGCACCCACATCTCTGTGACTTTGCCGGTATCCTCCGCAGGGCAGCCCTTCCTTCCTCTGTACCTTGTGAGAACTACTACTTTCGGAGGTGCTGAGAGAGTCCTCCACAGGTGACTTGGCCCAAACGCTGTTAGACTTTTCCTAAAGACTTGGTTGATCACCAGGTACCATAGTATATCCATGAAGATGTTTGGTCTACACTAGCCCATATACCCAACTCCATGTGCTATGACTGGCTAGGCTACCGAGGCAAGAAAGGTGGTCATTGACCATACAGCCACAACACAATCATTGGATCAAGAAGACATGGTAACTTTTTGTGTACTAATCCTGTAAACCAAAAGTGAAAATAAGTGGTGTGTGCTGTTTGAAACCAGGGATGTCTTCTTAAGGGTGGATGGTTTTTTTGTCAGGACCAAGTTTCAGGCACCTTTTGGTGTGAACCAAATGTCTGTGACGTTTTGGGTAGGACCAAATGCCCTGCCTGGCTATTTGCAGTCCTTTTCTGGTGTCTCCCCGGTAGCATTTCCTATTTCAGTTCCCAAGTCCTCTATTTTCAGAATGGACAGGTTGGCTGCTGTTTTCTGCATTTTGTGCAGCGCTCAGCACAGCTGCTGACTTCCTGTCTGGTGGACAATCAAGTATAACTTGTACAGTTCCTCTTGCCCCAGTTTCCCCCTATTTTGCCTTCAAACATGGAACTTTCTCTGCATTTCTTTATGAGGCAAATCTGTGCTTCCTTTTCATAAACATGTCATTTAAAATAGCTACCATAGACGCTAGTGTGTTTTTTTTTAATCATAATATGTAATGTTTTTGTGTCCTCACATTTATGTTTAGAGTAACTCACCAGTTGGAATTTATTTGTGTTCTAGTTTGCTGCTCTGTACCTTTTTGCTAAGGCTCAGTTTGTTGATTATAGTATTATGATTACTTATTTGAGATAGAGGCTTTTTGTGTTATACATGTATCTGGTACAAACAAGACAGCTTTTGTGGTTTACAAATGCAGTTCCTCTGCCATTTCTAAAATTATTAGTATTTACTTTAGTAACGGTACCTTCTTTACTAGAAAAGCACTAATTGTGTTTTTTTTTGTGGGGGGGCTCTTTTTTAGGGAAAGCTACCAACGACAGGAATGACAATCACAAAGCTTGAGGACAGTGAAAATCATAGAAATGCATTTGAAATATCAGGTGATAGGCAAAAACCTTGCGGACGCTATCTGTCATGGTGATGAGAGGCAGCTTACCATCTGTGTGCAGATTCTTGCTTGACTATTTCAGAGGGCTGATGTTTAACTTTGTTGAATTATACTCTGGGTGTGTGTATGTGCATGTGTGTGCTTTCTACCAATTTTCCAATTTCAGCCCGTTTTTCTCATCTCTTCTAGGGAGCATGATTGAGCGGATATTAGTATCATGCAACAACCAGCAGGATCTTCATGAATGGGTGGACCATCTACAGAAGCAAACGAAAGTCACATCTGTCAGCACTCCCCCCATTAAGCCTCATTCTGTGCCGTCTCATACCGTAAGGACCCCATACTTCTGCCTCCAAACTCCAGGGTCAGCTTTTGGTTGAGTTGTCAGCAAGTGGTCAAGTAATTTAAAACATTATCAATATCTTGATCAAGAATGCACAATACTTGCCTTGTACTTCTCTGCAAATATTTGCTTATTTCCATTGAGTAGTGAATAGCTTCGCAGTGGTCAGACTTGTGAAACAGCCCTAAGTTGTGCTTCGTCACATCCAGTCAGTGGCACTCGGGCAGGAGTCTGCTGCCGTGCTCAGATGGGCCTCAGAGAGTAAGGTACTGGGGTTTTTAACTGAAACTTAAAGAGTGTGCTTTTTCTGAGAAGTTTATTTATTTTGTTTCATCAAAAAATAAGTATTTATGATGATGAAAAGGACCAGATTCATGTTGAAGGCATTAAAATGTAATTTTTGACTCATTATTTTGATTTTAAGAAAACCACTTCTACTTAGAAAAGCTCAACAGCTCAGCTCATCGGTTTTTTAGATACGTAAACCTTTCAAAATAGATCAGTACCAAAGTGTCATTTTTTAAAACTTCTCTTTATTGGTGTTTTTTTGCTTAAGATATTGCATCATTTGTCATTCTTTACCAAACAATATTGAAGAACCAGGCATACCTTTTTACAAATGACTTACGATTACATAGCATTTCCAGTTGGTAGGTTTCTCTCACATCCTTAGATTGTTATGATCTTTGTCAGGACGTTTCCTACCATGTAGTTCGCTTCTGCATTCGTTATCCTTGGCATTAAAGTTTTAGCTCAGGAAGGGTGGCTGTAGCATAGCATTCTGGTCATGATATCATCTTACTCGAAATCTCTCAACAGTATGGAGGCTAAAACTGCTCATTTCCTTTAGCTGACATGTCATTTTGAATGACTCTGCCATTTATAACTCCATACTTTAAAAAATATTAAAGATGCCCTAACCGGTTTGGCTCAGTGGATAGAGCATCGGCCTGCGGACTCAAGGGTCCCAGGTTCGATTCGGGTCAAGGGCATGTACCTTGGTTGTGGGCACATACCCAGTAGGGAGTGTGCAAGAGGCAGCTGATCGATGTTTCTAACTCTCTATCCCTCTCCCTTCCTCTCTGTAAAAAAATCAATAAAATATATAAAAAATATATTAAAGATGCTTAGCTTTCATGGTACTAAACTTACTTCAAAGGCATGTATGTATGTGTGTGTTTATAAAGAAAAATGAAAGTGCCTTTTCATTCAAATTGTTAGTAACAGTCTGAAACTAAGCTTTATAAAATTTCATTTCAGGTAAAAGCTTTTTCTATTTGGACCCTGGCCTCTCATATTCCTTTTCATGTCACCCAGTGGCAAGGGAGGTGCCCATCAGCAGGGATTTTAAGTCCCCACTCTGTGGATGGCGCTGTTCCTCACATACAGGCTTTTGAAATGTGCCTTCTTTAGGGAACTTCTTTTTGGGGGGAATTGAGTGTTCTCCCTGTGTTCTGTCCATATCTAACTTGAATAATATTCTAGTTTTAGCACGAAGCATACCTCTTTTGACTTTTTTGAGGAAGGAGAAATACCACCAAGTATTACTTACTACTACATTATTGCTAGAAGGGATGTTTTGCATAATTTTATTCTTTTGTGAATTTTTTTTTTGAAAAATTTTTATAGTAGTTGTGTAGCAAATGACAAGCACTGACACACACACCAGGACAGGCCCGTGGTTTCTGCAGAAAGTTTGTTCTTAAATATGGGGGCATCAGCTAGAGCCAGGGTTTTCTTATTTTAAACATGTGTTTCAAATATTGTTCAGCTTTCTTTCCTTTTTTTTAAGAAATTTTTTTAAAATGTATTTTTTATTGATTTCGGAGAGGAAGGAAGAGGGAGAGAGAGATAGAAACATCAATGATGAGAGAGAATCATTGATCAACTGCCTCCTGTACGCCCCCACTGGAGATCGAGCCCGCAACTCGGGCATGTGCCCTTGACCAGAATCGAACCTGGGACCCTTCAGTCTGTGGGCCAACGTTCTATTCACTGAGCCAAACCAGCTAGGGCTAAAAAATATATTTTTATTGATTTCAGAGAGGAAGGGAGTGGGGGGAAGGAGGGGAAGGGGTGGAGAGAAACATCAGTGATGAGAGAGCATCATTGATTGGCTGCCTCCTGCACACCTCCTATTGGGGATCAAGCCTGTAACCCGGGCATGTGCCCTGATCTGGAATCCAACTGTGACCTCTTGCTTGGTTCCTGGGTCGATGCTCAACCACTGACCCACACAGGCTGGGTTGTTCAACTTTCTAATAATGGCTTCACTCAGGTTTACAGATCACAGAATCACTCAGCTCTTGCTCCTGTTAAGCATGCCTTATTGCTTTGGGTCATTGGCTAATTTTGAATTACTTAATTTATTTAACATTTTCTTATTTAATTGTCACTGTGATGGGTTTTCCAGTAATATAAACTCCAGTGATCAAGCCTTCTGAGAAGTTAGATTTCTATAACTTTGTTTTGATTAAAGTTAATCAAATAATTTGTTTTATTCCAGAGAGTGGCAATTTTTTCCTATAAATAAACCAGGTAGTAAATATTTTCAGCATTACAGGCAATATGGTCTCTGTAACACAAAAGCAGCTATCAACAGAAGTGGGCCTGGCTGTGCCACTCTTTAGTTAAACAAAACCTGGGGTCAGGTCCAAGCTTTGCCCGCTCCTAAATCACAGGCACTGAATAACAGCTGACTGGGGAGGATTACCCTCCCCCATAATCTTGCTCCTAGTAGAATTCTGATATAGTATATATTAAATGAAATGCCTTTTTGCAAATGTTAATCCATGGCAAATAAAGTGTGTGAGTGTGTCCGGGTTTAGGCCCCAGCATCCTGCTGCCTCCTAACCAGGCTAGGCCGCAGCCTGAAGCAGATCTTGGGGTATCACAGAGTCTAACTGCTTGGAGAAATGATAATCTGGGGGTTATTTCGTTGGGTGCATTTTTTAAAATTAGCGAACTAAGTGTATTTGATTGAGGTTTCTTTGATGGTGAATGTTCTCTTTTTGCTTTTTCTTGTTCTTTTCCTTGGGTAGCTCCCCACCCATTCGATCACCCCATCCAGCAAGCATGCAGACAGCAAGTCGGTGCCACTGACGCCTGCCTACCACACACTGCCCCATCCCTCCCACCACGGCACCCCACACACGACCATCAACTGGGGGCCCCTGGAGCCTCCGAAGACCCCGAAGCCATGGAGTCTGAGCTGTCTGCGACCCGCACCTCCCCTCCGGCCCTCAGCTGCTCTCTGCTACAAGGAGGTGAGGTCTGAGCGAAAGTGAGCGCGACCTGACATCTGGACGTGTCAGGTTGGTTGTGCTGTGCTTCATTCCAGTAAATTCAGAAATAATGGAAAAATCACGAATTTCTACCTGTGACATAAAAGTGCAGCTCAGCTTCTTTGAACTGTGAAGGGTCTACCTTTCTTTATTGTCATTTCCTTCTGTTTAGGGGCCTGGGAGGCTGTGGAGACCCTCATGGGGGTGGGTGGGTTAGTGCAACATCGGACCCTCTCTGTGCCCCGCATGGCCTTTTCTGTGCTCACCATGGTCCTACCTTGAGGAATCAGAAGCTTCCCATGGGCTTCCTCTGGGCCTCTAGCTGAGTCTGAAATGATTTTCAGCTTCCAGTCATGATGGGTCTCACTATTTCTGCATGCTATTCTGCTGTGCCTTCCTTATGATCCTTTTCCAAGTTTGAGATCTTGCCCGGGAACCCTACATTTACAAATAAAAAATGAAAGTTAAGACGGCTTTTCTCTTTGTGTAAGAGGTCATCATGCACGTTGCTCTTTTCCTTTCTAATCCAGGATTTTGTGCAGTTAAAATATGATTCCCAGCCATAAATAAGTGTTAACAGTTTCCTGCACTTTCATGCTAGGTTTTATACAATAAATCTGCTTTGATGAGGAAAGGAAGTGCCATGAGAATTGCATTCTGAGAAGTGTTAGCACTCGAGGAAGCTTGATAATTGAAATGATGAGAGTTGGTTATCACGCACGTGAGCGGCATGAATGAGTATGGTTATCATGCATATGAACTTGAGTATGAGTTGGCAGTATGGTCATCGTGAATGTGGATATGGTTACTGTAAGTGTGAGTGTCGTTATTGTGAGGGAGAGTATGGTGATTATGAGTATCAGTGCGGTTGCAATGAGTGTGAGTGTGGGTGAGGATGGTGAGTAGGGGTGTGAGTGTGGTTATTCTATTAGCCTGAGTATGAGTATGGGTAGAGTGTGAGAATGCATATAGTTATCATGTGAGCATGTGACTATGGTTATTCTGAGTGAGTGTGGTTATCACTGTTGTGATTATCATGAGTGTGTGTGTGAGTGTGAGCATGGTGAAACACTTTGGCCTGATAGGAGTCTCCACATCCAGAGACCGAATTTGCCTAAGAATCTGGAGCAGACCCTCCCTTAATCCTTGCTAGCAGTTCTAAAGATTTTAAGACACCTAGAACAGTGCTACATAAATTATTATTTCTTTACGTTTTTTGTTCTTAATGAATTTTGAATTTTTTGATATGTCTTGCTGATGGTGGTTATATGCCCAAGTCAGAAATGTCTTTATCATGGGCAGTTCCTTAAAGAATGTTGATGTTCTTTATTACCTAGTTTAGTGTTTACAGGTAGCACAGGCAAGCACTGGTGGAGATTTCATTATTGAGAAGGAAAATTGGGATAAAAGTGTTAATTAAGCAAAGGAACAGAAAGGCAAGGGAAGAGGTGTGGCAGTGAACGTGAGCATCTGGTTTGGGTAAGTCTGGCTACAGTTGCTTTGCTGGACCCCATGCTGTAGAAAAGGTTTCACACTCTTAAGTATTGTACAGTATTACTGAGCACCTCTAAGCACTTAGTGAAAAGAAGTCCTGTTGAGTATGGCAAAAAACGGAGCAGCCAGCCTTGTCTGCGTCGAGGAGTCGGGTGTGCAATGTGTGTGGATTTGTGCCCTCTGCACGTGTGGTGGGTGCCTTGTCTGGTGCGCCGCCAGGAGTCTCATGTCTTTGCTTTGAGTTATGGAAGCCACCAAACACATGCCGTGTTTATTTCTCTGTGAGCTGATTTCTGCTGCATTTTAAAGAGTTTTTAAATACTTATTTTTATGGAAAATATTTTGAAGAGATACCTTTAAACATAAAGTTTTGTTCCCTCTGTGCTTTCAGTCTGACTCATCCCATAGCACATGTCACCTTCTGAGTCTTGGTTTCTCATTGTAAGATTCACAAATGGCTTATGTAATTTAAATGATGCGGAAATGAACCCTTTTTAAAAAAATATATTTTATTGATTTTTTACAGAGAGGAAGGGAGAGGGATAGAGACTTAGAAACATCGATGAGAGAGAAACATCGATCAGCTGCCTCCTGCACACCTCCTACGGGGGATGTGCCCGCAACCAAGGTACATGCCCTTGACCGGAATCGAACCTGGGACCTGCAGGCCGACGCTCTATCCACTGAGCCAAACCGGTTAGGGCAGAACCCTTTTTGATACTGATAATTTAATGCATGCTTGACAATTGAAACTTTACCCACTCCATTGGACTTCTTCCTACTCTCAGTTTTTCACCTTCATCGTCTGCAGTTTGTGAAGTTGTGTTGTAGAGGTAAGAGGTAGACCATTACATTATGAATTTAGCTCTGAACTAGTGTGAACATGCTCTAGAGAACCAGTGTCTCATCTTCTCTCTGCATCTGTGCTCAAGGCCGATAGGATGATCTATCTTACTCCATTTTCTTCTCCCTAAGGCTTCAAATATTTTCCTAAAGGACTCATTTTTTACTTACCTCTCCTTTAAAAATAGCCCTGGGCTTGGCCAGGTAACTCGGTTGATAAGAGTGGTTTCCCAATACGCCAAGGTAAGTGGTTTCTATCTACTGTCAGGGCATATACGAGATTCAGCCAGTGAATGTATGTATAGGTGGAACAGCAAGTTGATGTTTCTCCCTCAAATAAAAAAATTGTAAAAATAGCCTTAGTTTTCTCATCTCTTTCTAGTTAGCAGCAGCAGATGAGTCTGTGCCAGAATTAGTAGCATGCGTGGCTCTCTGTGCGCACGCCAGCCAGCTGTCCTTTCCTCTCCAGAGGCTGCCTGCCTCCCCTCTGCTGTGTGTGTGACAGTGCTCACGGACCCAAGTAACATGAGGGTTCTTACCAGTTATTGTCCTAGTATTGATTTTAAATTAATGCTCTGCTGCTGGCAAAAAATCAAAATATGAGAAACGTAGGAAACTTTTAACAGTGAATGGCTGTGGTGATTTAATATTTTACACCTTTACAGTGACACTTACTGATCTGTCAGTAAAAATTACTGCCTTGGGAAATTGTCAGCATTTTTTCTCTTTTTTTCCCTTAGGATCTTAGTAAGAGTCCCAAGACCATGAAAAAGTTGCTACCTAAGCGTAAACCAGAGCGGAAGCCTTCGGACGAAGAGTTTGCGCTGAGGAAAAGTGAGTCTGTGGGCACAAAGACCCGGGTCTGCCTCACACCCCACAGCACAGTGTGCTGGGATAGGGAGATGGCTTCTCAAAGACTTCAAACACAAGTCAGGGTCGGAGCCTTCGTGGCACTTCCAAAGGAAATTGTTGGAGCAGCAAGAGCGACAAACTACTGCGGTGTAGACACTCGAGCAGGAAAGAAACACTAGTGATGTGCTGTTGGATTGGACGCGGGGTTTGTGGGAGTGAGGCTTTCAGCTTGTAGGGACTGTGATGGGACAGGACTCTGAGGCCGGGGGAAGGTCTGGGCCAGTGGTGAGAATTTCAGAGTTGTTCTCTGTGCTTAGGTGGTTTCTCAAGCTGTGAGATTGAATAGACAGAGAAGAAGAGAAAGGGTCGAGTCTTAGATGATGAGGGAGGGAAGGAGCTAGCAGAAGAAGGACCAGGAGGTAATAAGAAAACCAAGGGTTTTGTATGGGCTAAAGGAGAAACTTTAACTGTGTGGACCACTGTGTAACTAGTGCCTGTGCACAGCAAGTACTAAGTAAACCTGACTCCTTAAAGTCACATCGTAATTCTGTGAGTTACTTTAACCTTTCTTACATTCAGAATCAGAGAAGTTTTTCTGGTTATTAGAATAGTCTGTGCCACATAGAAAATGTTCGCTGTCCTCTCATTAATTTACCTTCTTCAACCTTCTCAGGGAAGCCAGTCCCTTTCTGGCTTCATGATGCTTTTGTGGCACTGAGGAGGAAACCACTGTACTTGCCCACGTCTGAAAATAATCCAGTTACATCAGCTGCACAGAGGGAATGGCCTGTTCCTGGAAGTTACCTTGCAACACCTCCTGAAATTAAACTAGTTAAATGTTACCTTTCTTACTCCTGAGAGAGGAGCTTGTTATGGAGCTTATAATGAGAAACCTGTTAATTGATTGGTCCCAATTCGTGAAATTTAAGTCAGCTTCTCAATTGCTCTTAAACTCTTCATACTGGAGTTTATTTTTCAGTAGGGACTATTCGGCTTGCTTTGTATATAACTGTCTTACTATCATAAAATGACATAGAGGGTTTAGTGTGCAACTTATAAATATTTCAGCCTTCCCTTCTTCTTACATTTTTATTACAGTAGGTGAGCTTTTTAAAAAATATACCCAGCCTGGCCGGCGTGGCTCAATGGTTGAGCGTCGACCTATAGACCAGAAGGTCAGTTCAGTTGCAGTCAGGGCATATACCTAGGTTGCAGGCTTGATCCCCAGCGTGGGGCGTGCAGGAGGCAGCTGGTCAATGTTTCTCTCTCATCATTGATGTTTCTGTCTCTCTCTCCCTCTCTCTTCCTCTCTGAAATCAATAAAAATATATTTTTAAAAATATCCAAATATTATGTTAGAAAATACAGAAAATCTAGGAAAACAAACTAGAGAAACAATTTAACCCTAGGTTCATATGAAGTGTGAGGCTCTGAGCTTGGTACTAATACCATTAGATGCTGTTAGTCTGGAAGATTCTGTTCTCTGTACCTGTGATCTCTGAGAGTGAAGCCAGTGTCTGGAATAATGCATAGCTTAAGGAAGAGCCCTGGAATGATACCTTCAAGCTTTAGATTGTGCCTTATAAATTTCTTAGATGAAATCTCTAGTAGGAATTTGTGGATCATAGGAAATGTTCTTTGTAAAGCCTCTGATAAATGTGGTCATATCGCCTGTCTTCATTCCTACCAGCTGTGGATGGAGGGAAGACTTTCTCTCCACTATCCATATCAACATTGAGAATTGTCAGCTTTTTCACTTGTTATCAGATTGGTATGTGAAAACCTGATGCTTCGTTTTAATTCTCACTTCTTAGTGGGATTGACTATTTTTTGTTACTGACCGTATTCTTTTTGTGTGAAATGCTTGTTTCTAGTTCTTGCCTTTTTTTTAATTTCAGGATATGGAATATTATTTTTCTTCTGGATTAGTAAGATAACATGTACTTAGGATATATTAACCTTTTGTCAATATGCTGCAGATAAGAAATACTTTTAAATAATTAAAAATTCTATTGAATGTAATTTTGTAAATACTGGAAAACAGTTATCTGACAAGAAAATAAAAGGAGGGGTTATCTTGATTGTCATCATTTTGGTTGAGTGGATGACTTCACATTCCTCTACTTAATTGGAGTAGTTATTTTTAGATTGTGACCTGTTGTACTTGTCATTTTTAGTTCGATTGTGACATGTTGTGTCTGTCTTGACAGGCACAGCTGCTTTGGAAGAAGACGCACAGATTCTGAAAGTCATCGAAGCTTATTGCACAAGCGCCAAAACACGGCAAACACTTAACTCAAGTAAGTTTTATAGTAGTGGTTCGTTGTTTTGGTGTGTGGGTTTTTTTTGTTTGTTTGTTTGTTTTGGGTTTTTTTTGGTAAATCACAGTGGGAAGGAAACTAGGCTGTGGGGTCCTGTGCACGGCCCTCTGTGTGCTGCCTGAAGGGTCCTTAGTGAGTGATGCTTCTGTGGTCTAGGCAGGTATAGGATAGCTTGAGCCTGACATCCCTAAATCATTGAAAGGGTCTGAGCTGTCAGTAAAATAACTGATTTATAGAGAAGGTTCTACTGGGAAGCCTTTAAGTATAAGGTGCTGCCAGAGTTTATGAAGCTTAGAGAAGATATATTTAGATATCAGCGGAAGATTCATTCAGTTCAGTTATTTAAGCTACTTAAACTATTGGTGTGGTATTGGGATTTTATTTATTTAATTATTAGCTTTTTACAATTGTTGTTAAAAATATAAATCTAGAACAAGGTTTCTTTTAGTCCACTCCCTTTTTTTAAATGATTGCATTTAAAAATTTTTGAAAGTAGACACAATTTATTAGATTTCAGTGCCACTGAATTTGCCTGCATCTTATGCATAATGTCTTAAAATCTTAATCTATTGTGAGAACAATAACAAGTGGCCTTTTTTTTTTAACTTCCCCAGCATTTGAGGGTGGAGTGCAGCACAGTGAGGGGTGGGGCAGATGGAGTAAAGTATGTGGTTTGTTCAGAAGAAAAGGGGACAAGTTTACCCTCTGCTGGTGCTGGGGCCACAAGCATCACAGGGTATCCTTCTGTATTGTTGTTTCTTAGGGCTTTTATTTTTTAAGAACTGGATGGTTTATATATTACTTCTACATAAAAACTAGTTTTTATTCAATTTTCTATGTTTGGTTCCCTTTCCACCCTGACATTTGACAAATCACTTATCTCTCCTTCATTTTCATTACCTGTAGTATGGTGATTAGAATCAGTGTCCTGTCCTGTTTTTAAACTAAAGATGGGGGGGGGGGTAGTAGGAAAGGGAGTTTCAACTGCTTTAGCTTTTGTTAAAGATGAAGATAGGGCTAATAAGGTTAAACCCCAAGTGGCATTTACAAATCATCTAGAAACTTCCTGTGGCCAGTACATTACATATCCCACCTGTGACATTAAGACTTTTTCCCCCATATTCTCACTGGTGAAAATGTCTTTCGTAGTGACTAGCCAGCAGAGAAGGAATCGAAATGGAAAGGTCTGAATGTGGAGTGCATATGCATATAATCAGGCAATCATTTGTAAGTCCAGATTATTGTCATTTAAGATATTACATACAGTTTCATATATTTGATGAGATTGTGTTATAAGTAATAGGCTGTAAAATGTCAAAATGTTTTTGGTTTTGAATTTGAGATGTTAAAGAATTATTCATCTCAACTTCAGTTATTTGAAATACAATTTCAACCTGATAGTCTCAGGTGACTAGACTAGGCAATATGAGCTTTATGTATGTTTTTTGTGGGCGCTGCATTTCTTCATCCAAGAGACAGTGAGTGCCCTGTGATGTGCCTGTGGCCTTGCTGCTTCTGGCTGCCTCAGAGGAATGGCTCATCGTTTGTGCAGATCTTTCCTTATCACATTGCTTTTATTATGTGTTTCCATTTCTCCTGTGCAAGAAAAGCATTGGACACTACATTGATTTTTATATTTAACGGCTATTATGAGCCAACTCATATATACAATCATATATGGCCTTAACCCAAACATTCTTAAGAACAGGTCGGATAGGAAATTAACCCTTTGCGCTTGAAAGGTGATTTCCTTAACACATTTGGAAATGGGATCAGAGTGAAAGCAGCTCTTTTCATATTAAATGTTTAGTGAAGACAGGATAATATGTCTTATCTAAAATTCAGCTCAGTTCCATATACATTTAGATGCCATTTACAAACTAAACATCTTGGGTATTAATTTCTATCTCAAAGAGATAATGACCTTCACAGACTATAGGTATTTAGTTGAAGAAATCCAAACTAGACTATTGCTTGTTGTTACGGATTTGGAATGGAATTACTTTGGTCAGAAGCAGGAACAGGATGGGACCAGTGGTTGCTGTCTGTGCCATTCCCCAACACAGAGGGGCACTCTGGTTCCCGCTGAATGTTTCGTTCCAGAACCTTTGTCCCTGGACCATTCCAGCCTGCATGTCTCATGCACAGCCGCCTGCCCAGTCATTGCTCACAGATGCCAACCACTCATGGGCTTATTTCTGTTCTCCCATTTTGCTCCCACTTCCTCCTGTTGTCCTTCTTTTAACATAGTGGCACTACCAGTTCACATCGCTCTTCCTGCCAGTAAAAGGGTCTGCATCAGGGTAGATAACACTTGAACTGACATGGCTTCCCACTTTATCCATATCCACTGGCTGAGTGCTCTAAGGAGTGGAGATGCGGGGTGATGGGAAAGGGGCAATGAGTGGGAAGCGGACCCTATTTAATTCCTTTCTCCATTCTGAAATTTTTACAGTGATTATAGTTCATAAGGTAAGTTTTAGACCCCCATCATTAAGATGACTTCTGGTGACTTATAGTCTGACAAAGAGGTAGCTGAAGAAGTAAGTCAAAAATCCTTTGAAACTATTTTGCATTCAATATCCATTTAATGGATAGGAAACAATTTTTAATTAACCACACAAATGGTTCCTTTTACAAATAATGTCCTAAATGAGGTTATTTGTCAATAGAATGTGGAATAGAATTGGTTACTTGTTAAATGTCTATGGATTCATTTGTACTAGTAGACCTGGGCTTAATTTGAAAAGATTTAACTGAGGACTTAATAGCAATGTTTTTAGAAAGGAACAATTTGGAAATAATATTGTGCTTTAGGTTTATTTAAATAATAATTGTTCTGGTTTTATTCTAAGGGTTGTGCTAACTTTGTTATTAAAACCCAGCCATAAATAAGGAGAAGTGAACATTGTTGCCATTTTTTAACAGTATTTTCTCTTTTCCTTCTTTCCCATCACCTTTTGCTTTTATTTTCATGTTTTTGGTTGTGGCTCTTCCTGTCCGTCCTCCTTTTCATCTCACCTTTGCCTGTCACACCTGTCACTCCATCCCACTCCCGTCTTAGCATGGCAAGGCACTGACCTGATGCATAATCACGTCTTGGCTGATGATGACCAATCAAGTCTAGACTCCTTGGGTCGTCGCAGTAGCCTTTCTCGTTTGGAGCCTTCAGACCTCTCGGAAGACTCTGACTATGACAGTATATGGACAGCCCATAGTTACAGAATGGGTTCTACATCTCGTAAGAGCTGTTGCTCATATATCTCTCACCAGAACTAATGCACTTCTGAGCTTTCTTAACAAATGCTTGTTGTATCGCAGCCTGCTTTTCTTAGATGTTTTCTTGCTGTTCCTTGTCTCTTTTATGTGATATTTTAACAACTTTTGAGAGCGTTTCTGATATTCCCATTGTATTTTGTGGAGGCATAATTGCCAATTCGAGTATCCATTTGAAATTACTAACTAACTGTTGAAGGAGATGGTGAATTCACACAGCCTATATCTATGGGTTCTTTTCTCTGGATAGTGGTGGTTTTATAGCCCAAAATGGTTTGGTTTTTTTATTCTCACTATAGCAACTGTCTCATTTCTTTTTGGATACAGCTATATGAACACTTTTATATTTTATACTGAAACCATACAGGTTTGTGATCTAAGTGCCAGTAACACGGAGGAGACTCTGGCCTTATATATAGGATTCTAAATTTTTTATGTATAATGGACACCCTGATCAAGTAGTTGTGGAGAGAGAAGAAGGAAAAAGCATGCACAAAAGTCCTGAGAGTTCGTTCAGACAGCGTGTTCTGAGGACTCCTGGGGGCACTTGGCGACCATGAAGAACCATGTGTTGGTGTGGGCTTTGGGCCTTGGCAGCACTGGAAAGCTTGACTGCACCCTACAGCTCTGTGCCTGTCAGTGTGCCACATGTGCTCTTCCCTGTGCCCCCATTTGCCCGTGGGGTGGGAGTTTTCCTCTGCAAAGTCCAAATTATTGTCAGAGTTCAGACACGGTCATCACACCAAACTTTCCTTAATTGGAGTAATTTCTCTTAAATGGCACTTAGCAAGCCTGTGCCACTCTACCGAAGGTTTAAAGTCCAAACTCTGAAGCATTGAGCCTCTGAAAGTGTAGATTAGAGTGCTTTCAGAGAGAGGCATTTTGGTGTGCTTAAAAAGGCGAGTGCTTTGGCTTCAGTCACAGCCTGGCTTTCACCCTGACATTCATACTTACACTGCCTGTGATGGACACATTGTTTGTTTTCAGCAACTAGCTGCAGTGAATCTCCATTTACAGCAACCCTATCCTATGTAACCCTCATTCTTGATTGTAATGGGGTATCTGAGTCTATTGAAGACTTACTGAGTTGCCATGTAACTCACTTATTAGGAAAGCTCAGATTGGGGTGCACTCCCCCACTTTCCTGGGATTTGTTGTAAGGAGATTTCACTGGCATCACTCAAGACTAATTTCTGCTTCAAAAAGAACTGAATGTGACATGTTGCATTCAGTTGTAGCATCCAAATCCACATCCGGTCATTGCTAGAGGGGAGGAAGTGTGTTCTCTCCCATGCATGCTATATCTGGTGTTAAAATGGAACCTTAAGGTTGTGTTTTAAGTATCCATTGAAACCAGCTTCAGAAAACAAGATGCCATAATAAACTGGGAATAACATTTTTTCCTTTCTTCAGGGTGGCTGTAATTCCAGGTGGCTGTGAATTCTCTCTTCCCTCACCATACCTCCTTCACCAAACCCATGTATTCAGTGTTCTGATCTCGTTTGCACAGAGACAACTCTGATACACTATGTCATTGTTTCCTGGGAGCTGGGTCCTGTTGCTCACAAGCCCAGAGGTGCTAGTGAACTCCCGGCAGTAGCATATTGCTTAGAAAATCAGACAGCTTCAGCACTGCATGCAATGGGGTCATTGGGAAAACCGATAATTCTAAGTATCTGTTTTCAAGCTTATGACATCTGGAGATTTCATATTTTTATATCAATTAGTATAAAAAAGTTGAGGAGCAATCGTTTAAAATTAGAGCTCAGTATTAACCCATGGTAGAGATGGAGTTTAATATATGTTCAGCCAAATAGCAAATGGAATTTTTGGAAAGCTATAACTACACAGTTCATATGCTTACTCAATATCATGCAAGGAATTTAGAAGTAATTTTGTTTTATATTACGTAGAGAACTCACCTTTTCTGATATGAATAGAACATCTTTTTGTTTGCTTTGAGACTATAATTGGTGCATTGGCCTCGATGCCTTTGCCATGCCTTAGTAAACTTGGGTTGCCTGGGTCATTTGCTATATACCACAACAATTGAAATACAGTTGCTGCACTTAGATTTTTCTGTAACACTAGTATCATTTGGGTTGTCTAAATGAGTTTCATTTTCTATACACCAAAGTTTTGACATGTTCCCATTATTCCTGTTTGTACCAGTTAAAGCCATTTGACGATGATTCTTTGTTGATGCTAAGATCACTGCACAATAACAACCTGGCTTTTTGTTTGTTTGGATTTGTTTTGAATGTCTGGCACCATTAGTTCTTGTGACCTGGTTGGAAGTAATAGTGCCACAGGCCTGAAAACAGTTCTTGTGTGGCAGTGGTGATAAGGCGTCCAAAGGGCCATGTTTCTACTTCTGTGGAACTTTAGTCATGCTGAAATAGTATTATATGCTTATACAGTTCTGTAATATTTATGTGTACAGCTAGTATTATAATGAAAGGATGAAGAATCTGGACTAGAAAGTAGGGTTAAGCCATTACCAGGCCTTGTTGCAAATGGCCTAAATGGTGTTCCCATTGAATTAACACTTGCCACAAATACATAAGCTTATATTAATTGTGTTTTGCATAAAATTGCCAAACACAGTAATGTGTATATAGTGGTTAAGACCTGGGAAAAATTTATATATTGTGCTTTTTATCTGTGAACGGGAAAGCCATTTTTAGTGGGTGACTGCCCTTTGAAGACTCAGTTGGATGTATACCTGAATGTTGCATTGTATTGTACAGTATCATGTTATTGTTTGTGGTTGCATATGGCAATGAAGTGTTTGTTTTATAAAAAAAAAAAAAGACGTCTGTTATGTACAGTTGAAATAAATTTTGCATTTGCTAGCCTGTGGCTTTTAATATTTGTTACATGGGGGTGGGGGGAGTAGCATAGTTTGCAGTTTAATATGATTTGGCTGTTCTCATGAACGTTGTCTTCCAAAGAAAGGCCAGGCAATAGAACACTTTCTATCTGCCTTAATGGAGAAGCTCTCACTTTCTTAGGTTAAATATATTCTAAACAATACAGGACCACTCCTTGTACATTTTTATTTCATCTATTTTTCTTCTATTTTTCTTTAATTTTTCAATCACTGGGAAGTTTGTCTTAAGAATGGAGCATCTCATTTTTGTGTGTTTTGTGTGTGTGTGTGTGTGTGTATGCATAAATAGAAAAAAACGCAACTTTAATGCTTTTTTATTTATACTAAGGTCAGTTTTTATTTTTGTTTTTTAAAGTGCATGCCCAGTTTAGTAGGAAAAGCAAAATGAAAGGAAAAGAAGTCCCCATGCCATTGTGGGGCTAGGCCAAGGTGCAAACAATGAACAAATGCAAATCATTCTCTAAAGAGAATCCTCACATTTCTTTTCCTAAGAAAAATAAATTAGAGTCTTATAGCCATAAATAACAAAGTGGCATTTTGGAGAAATTTTATTAAGTAGATTTTTAAAAGTATAATAATTTTTTAAAATATTTTTTTATTGATTTCAGAGAGGAAGGGTGAGAGGTAGAAACATCAATGATGAGAATCATTGATTGGCTGCCTCCTGCACGCCCCTACTGGGGATTGAGCTCACAGCCCGGGCATGTGCCCTGACCTGGAATCAAACGTGACCTGGTTCATAGGCTGATTGATGCTCAACCACTGACCATACCGCCCAGGCTAAAGTGTAATATTTTACTTCATTCTGGAAGTTATTTCACTTTTGGTTGTGTATAAGTAGGTGAAGATATTAGAAATATGAATTTAAGAAGTGAGTTTTGCTACAAACATACTAGACTGCTGGCTAGCTAGGCAGATATGTTTGTTATTTATTTTATTTTTTATATAAACTGTTTCTTGGCTTTTGGAGGAGGCTGACTCACTCATGTGTACACACACACACATATCATGCTCATGCCCTGGATTTGTGTTGTCAGATCAGGCACCAAGGTAGTGGTCTAACAACCAAGATGATTGTGCGCTGGGGCTTGAGTCCTACTTACTCCTGTTGCCTGGGCAAATCATCTGTTTATAAAATGGATCAATCGGTGTTTCTCAAATGAAAGCCCATTTGGGGTTCTCTGAATGTTTTAGGAAGCAGTGTTCTAAGTGTGTCTTCAGCTTCTGGATTACACCTCTGAGTTGCCTCCAGGGGCCCCAGTGCCTACTGTCTCTCCAGCTGTGTGGTGCAGAGTGACCCCTGCTGGTGGCCGTGTGGACCTGTCACTGCCTGTTTGCAGCCATTGGCGGCTGGATCCCAAGCATGTGCAGATCTCTTTGGAGTCCTCAGGTTTGGTAAATGCTGATTGGTGCTAAGTATACATTATAGTTTCTTTATAGTCACCCCCTATTGAACAACTACAAGACCAACCAGCATTTGTGTGTATGTATCTATAGATAGGATTTTAGGCTAGTCGAGCACTCTTCTGATTGTTACCCGGAAACATTGATGCTGAAGAAAAAGTGTTTAGCACTCAGACGAATTTAGGAAATGCTGAATTAAACTTCAACAGGCATTTTTACTGCAAATCTTCTGAAAACCTTAAAAATGCTACATGTACCTTGTGAATCTCTAAGAAGTGGCTGTAGCATTCAACATTTTCCAAGATGATGTGTTGTGGAAACCCCTATTATCACCTGTAAAATACAGATTTTGGGAACCACAGATTTGAGTATGCTGGAACCATCATGAACCTGTTCATCTGTGTCTCAGACCTTTTCGAGAATTTTAAATAAAGCAATAGAACATTTTTGGTGGTTCTGCTGTTAAATTGTTTTTCCAAACTAAGTAGTTCAGGCAAAACATGCTGCAGTACCTCTGAAAATATTTCAGTAATCTTGGCGGTAACTTGTTAAATCTGTTTACTTTCTAAAACTTTGTTCTTAAATAGTCAACTTACTTATAAACCTGGCTGGAGAATATTCCTTTATTGTTTTGTTGAAATACTAACATTTTTTCAGTTATTTTAGCAAAATATGTTATATTGAAACTAGGCAAAATATTAGCCTCCCATGGATTTCTGTTTAGGAAACAAGTAATCTTCATTAACAAACCTCCTGGCTCATCATCAGACCTATAAATGACATTTTTTTTACATTGGCATGTTTCAGGAATATAGCAGCTTAGTACATCTGACTACAGCAAACTTAACATTTTTTTCTGTCTTAGATATTTTTATTTATTTTTAGAGGGAGAAAAGGAGAGAGGGGCGGGGAGAGAAACATCAATGTGAGAGTAAACATAGATTGGCTGCCTCCTGCATACCTCCAACCAGGGATTAAGCCCACAAACTGGGCATGTACCCTGACTGGGGATTGAACTGGCAACCTTTTGATGCACAGGAGGACACCCAACCAATTGAACCACACTGATCAGGGTTCAAACTTAACATTTTTATAATATATAGTTGCATTCTTCTTGTGTGTTTTAAGTGTATTTAAAAATCAGAACCATGTCATGCATGTACAACCGTTGTACCAATTCTTACAGATTTTAGTTTCTCTGATTTAGTTATGCTACGTGAAGGAATTTAAAGTTTTTATCTTTATGATTTCATCTGGTAAGAGATATTTATAAGATATAATTTTTAAATTAATCCTCAGGACAACTCTGCAGCGGTGGTCGATTTTGTTCTTCTATTTTACCAGTAATGGAAGGTGGTTCAGTGGTTAAGTGAGCAGCCTGAGTTTATTGAGGACTACCACCGACGGGTGTGAGTGCACGTGCAGACGGTCCCAGCCCCTCTGCAGGACAGCGACTGCTGTCTGGCCCCTTTACAAAGTGGATATCCCTTGTGATTCTGTCTTATGTTATTTGAACGTTTTAATGCTGGAAAGAATGTAAATAGTTTGCCTAGGGAGCTAGAAGATGTAAAAATAATTATGTGTAGAATTTAATATTCCCTCAAGTGCTGTTGTATAAAAACATTTTTAACCTCTTGTCTCATTAACCCATTTGAAGGACTGTTGTATTACAAAATTGAATGTGACAGATAAACAACTGATAACTTTTTTGATTTGACTAACACAGTCAAGAACTGTTTGGACTCAAAGCAGATACCCGTTGGAAAATTTATGAGCCTTCTAAATTGTCCTATGTCATCAGTTTGCTTCTCTTCACAGTGCAAATTAAATTTGTTTTCTACATATCTGAATCTTTCTGAATCTTTTTCTCTTTTTCTAGGAAAATAGCACATGAATTAACTTCCTTATAAAAACATGGGTAACGTTTACATTTGTATCAGAAGCACAGGATTTTCCTCAGCCTTCAGAATTTTTGAGCTGGCTTGTATCCCTGTACTTTCTCAGTACTTTGTTTCACATACCAGTTTCCTTCTTAAGCAGCATTTCCCCAAGTAGCCCAGGTTTCCAAACAGCCTTCCCTACTAACCCAGAAAGGCCTAGAAGACACGCCACTCGCCATGGCAAGTAATTCTCCAGCTGTGCAGCTCACTGTGGCCCTAAAGCGGGGTATGAGTGAAGCCACGCCTCCCTCTGCCTGACATGGTGGGAACACGAAAACACTAGCAGAGGGTCCTCTTTGAAGTGGTATTTGATAAACCTATGTACAAACATACTTCTATATACCAGTTTATTAAGTAAGGCTTGTGACAACATTCTAAGTACTGCATTTGATTATAACATTGAAGTTATTCTCAGCGAACAGAAAGGCCCTTCCCTTTATTGGTGTAAAAAAAGATACGTATAGAAGCTTGTGCTGTGTAACATAAGATAGAGCGTGATTTTCTTACCCCTGAGGTAACAAAGAAGGAAGTCAGCACCTCAGTTTTGTCCTGTTCTGGATGTTACGGTTTCCCAGCAGCTTGTATTTGGTACCTTTCCTCGGCTGTGAGACTGGGCAGGAAGGCTTTACAGATGTCCGGCTGCAGCCGGGAGGCTTGGCCAAGGCCCTGAGTCCCCTTCCCTGTGGCATGCTGCCGTGGGAATGGCAGAGGTACTCTCTGGACATCAGTCATGTTTTATGCGCCCTCCTTCTATGGAGCTTTGACAGCAATTGTTAATCTTGTGCCATTCATAGCAGTAAAAGCTTACATACTGGTGGAAACTGTTCTTCAAAATGAAACTGAAAACATTGGTGTTATGCTGAACATTCCCATGATACAAATATGTACAATAAGTGCCCTCTTATAATTCAATGAACTTTTAGGAAGGCAAGTCAAAGATAAACCAAGAAAAATAAGATCAAGCAAGTTACGCTGTGTAATTAGCATATGTCAACATCAAAGGTATTTTTTAATGGAGAAATGTGTATCACATTACCATTTGCAGGTGTTTGTTTCTCTGTAGACTATATCCTTCCGCAATTTGCATTTGATATTTTTCAAAAATACAAATGATGTATGTTATAGTGTTATACAACCTTTGATATTATTTTAAGATTTTCTTCCTGTATCCTTAAATAAGATTTGATTCTCTTTTTTCTCACATTTTAAAGTAAATATTTGAGTTTCTCAGTTAATTTCTAAAGTACCTATTTTGTGGCAAACATTTATGGAGACACTGTCCTGAGCAAGCGGTTGTGTTGGGAGCTCGTTAAGTGCCATGAACTTGTCTCTGACATGGTGAACGGTTTACTTCTAGGGAATGAAGAGTAGTTTTCATAAAAGAAACAAGATTCCTGGAATAATACAGCTTAAGGTTTCGTGGATTTGGATATTTATTCCAAAATACCCAGAGTACTGTGGGCAGAATCTTTACTACCTGCGGGAAAATTCTGGATTTAACAGATCCGTAATCCAGATTTAGAAACAGAAGCTTAATAAATTAGAAAAAGGCTGTTTCCTTTTTTCTGTAATGCTTTAGGCATGAAAAAAACTGGGTTCAGTAGACAGAGATGGAGAAAATTGGTAAAAGTTGCCCTTCCCTATTTTATCTAGAAAGTAATTCATGTAATACACAATCCCTAGAATTTAATGTTAATATTTAGATAGTGTTAATATAGTGAAATTGTTCTTAGCTTTGCTGTGGTATTCACCTTGGGTTTGTTTTTTTTTTTTTAATGATGATAGGTTCACGTAAAGAATCTGCTCCACAAGTTTTGCTTCCAGAAGAAGAAAAAATTATAGTTGAAGAAACAAAAAGCAATGGTCAGACAGTGATAGAAGAAAAGTAAGATGTATTCCAGTATTAAAATGCAGGCATGTGGGTGTGTGTGGAATGGGGTGGTTTGTGGAGGGCATGGGGGTGTGTGTGTGTGTAGGGGTGGGGGCATGAGGATGTGTGTGTGTGTGTGTGTGTGTGTGTGTGTGTGTGTGTGTATAGGGGTGGGGGCATGGGTGTGTATGTGTGTGTAGGGCTGAGGGCATGAGAGGGTGTGTGTGTGTGGAGAGGTGGGGGCATGAGGGTGTATGTGTATAAGGGTGGGGGCATGGGAGGGTATGTGTGTGGAGGGCTGGGGGCATGAGAGGGTGTGTGTGTGGAGGGGTGGGGGCATG